GGTACCGAGCTTTGACGCTGTCTATGAGCACTCACGGGGTTATTTGTGATCTGCGCGTACTTTCCCCATACCACTTTGCCGCCAGTGGTCACCATGCCCAGCTCAGACACATTGACCTCGATGATTGTGCCTTTGGTCAGCACTCCAAGCTGCGTGTACATGGGCGATTGAGGGTTCTTCTTGACGCCAATAATCGGCAGCTGGAACGTGGCTTTGAGATCCGCTGCAGGGTGAGAGACACATAGCAGGTCAGAACGGCGCTCTATGATCCACAGGAACCAGTCAAACGGGGTATGATGTGACTTCAGAGCCCATACACCGTTGCAGAGACGAGACTCACGATGTGTAATGTGGGCCTTTTTGTACCGCAGACCCATCGGGCGTACAAACCGCTCCAACTTGGGGGGCTTTCGCGTGAAGCTCTCGCCCACAAAGGTAGCCTTTGTGACCATTCTCTTCCACCCCTTGCCCTTTCTCTTACCCGTCTTCATCACCTTGAACACCTCATCCTCTGCAATTCCTCTGACCTGAGGAAGTGGCACGGCATACTTGGCAGCTTTGTCCTTCCTTCTCTCCTTGACAGCGCTGCTAAGAGCCTTGGCATCTTTCTGACCTTCCCTATCCAGCAAGTATGTTGGCAATGCTTGATCAGGTGTCTCTGACGTCGAAGCAGCCTTGACATCCCGTTCGTCCCTCGCCTTCAAAGTCTTCTTCATCTGAATCTTCTCTAATCGCTTCGCCCGGTTCATCATCTTGGCCTTGAGGCCGATAGTGTGCTTGGCGACCGCGGAAGCCTTGTGCGTTGAGCGCGCCTCGCGCTTTCGCCTAGTGATTCAGAGGAGCGATTCAATATCCCCGACTCCTGACCCGACGGCGAGCCCAGCACACTCACATGCGCTCATCATGGTCAAGCCGTTTGCCATGTCGGCGTTGGTGCTCCTCGATGTAGTCGTTCTGAAACACGAATCCGGTCGGAGTTGACCCGAATGATCAGCAGGTGTGGCTATTTCAACTTAGCGCGACAGGGTTGTCACTCACTTGAGGCATTATGGCAAGTCAAGTGCAAACTGGAGCTCGTCAGAGATGGGTGAGTACGCGCACTGGGACGAGCGGCGGCGCTAGTCGGCCTTCGAGTGGGCCAAATCTGGACAGAGCACTTTCCAGCGGGAGCGTGGAGCTATGCGATGGATGTCGGCGTGTTCCGCTTGATGGGTGATGCTTGAAAGGTGTGTCCGTGAGGTTGTGTATGAGGCAGAGGGTAGCAGCGCAGGTACTGTCGCAGTGTGAGGACATAGATAGCTGCGCAAAGGAGGAGCAGCAGCAAAAATGTTGCAGGTACGCATCACGCCTCGTCTAAAATTCCTGGCCTGGGAAAGGGAGGCAGTGGGACGCGCAGCGAGTCGCAGATGGGACTGCAGAATCTTCTCGATGGAGCGCGGGCTCGAAAGGTCCCATCACTCGCGACATTTGGATTTCCATGAGTCTGACACTCAAACTCCAACTCCAAACTCCGTGCATCAGTCGTGAGTCATCTCAAAGCGTCTCCTTTGGCCGTCTCCACGACTGCTGGATGTGCAACAACTCGGAATGCATGCCAGAAAGCCTCCAGCCTTTCTTGCCGGAATGTGACAATGAGGCTTACATTCGGTGCGCTGTGGCTGGATCTCCTGACCCTGTGGATGGGTGAGCATGTCGCAATCACGGCGGATTAACGCAGCTATGATGTGATTTAGGGACACGCAATTCAAAATTGCAATTTGCAGCGTCCAGGTTCGTCGACTGGGCGGTCAGACGCGCTCGCACTCGAGACTCACGACTCAAATTCATGAGTCGTCGACTTCAGTGCACACGTCATTCACCAATCGAAGTCGTGAGTGGCACTTGTGACTGGAAGCAAGGCTTGCGCTTCCCTCACAGCATTTACCGCGCTCAAGATCTAGCGTATTGCAAAGGCAGGACTTTTTGACCATGACGGGATCCGCGGTGCGCCCCGCATCGATGAAGAGGGCTGGCTAAAGTCCGCTCTCACACTCCAAAGTAAAAATTGACCCATCACCTTGTGTCCGGTTGCTCGATTGTCATTTACCCTCAAATTTGGACTCATTGGCGCAAGCCCAGGTCTTGAGTGATTGTGCGAAGAGGCTCAAGACTAGCAGCGAGCTCCTTGACACTTCTCCTCGACGCGTGGGCCACGTACCGGTGTACCTCCGTCGTGACTCTCCGTGTTGCTGAGCCGCAGCCACATTGTGATTCACAATCACCATCAAAATTTGCGACTTGTTCTCCCACTCACTCTTCCACCGAGGCTCCAGCAAGCACGCAGCACGGTGGCTGATTCTACGAGACTTGCTTCCGCCACTGTGAGAGGAGGACTGAGCAGCAGGTGCTGCGCACGCGGATGCCGCCAAGTGCCACGCACTCACGCAGCGATGAATGGCTTGACGTCTCGTGGCG